GTGAGTGCAGCAGTAGATTCGCTAGTGGCGTAGGTAGGTAAAAGGCAAGGTTGGCCCTTGTTCGTACTCGAGGTGTATTGAAATTTAGCATAGACACAAATGATGGACAGTCATGTTGGTAATTTATAACTTTGAACAAAAAGACTAAAGATTGTATCTTCCTTCTATCATCAAGGCTGAGAGACCTATGCTTTTGAAGTAAGTTATTTTATGAAATCCCTATGGGAGGATAAACACCATCAGTTTTGATAGATAAATACTCCAAGAACTTCCTTTGATTTTTTTCCAATGAGTCACATGAGGTAACATAGCATGGGTTCCATATTATCCTTTCGTATTCCAGCTTAGAAAGAACAAACGAATTGTACAGCACTGTAGGTGCTGTGGTACCGATAAACTCTCTTGAATTGAGTATAATGAATCCCAGTGCTTTGTTGGCAGAATTCACTAAATTAGTTAGGCGTGCACTGAAGCTCAATGTCCTGTCAAATATTACTCCTAGGTCCCTGAACTCTAAAGTCTGAAGAGGAGTGTTGTTAATTTTATAACTATTGGTAATTGAATTTACTCTCCTAGTGAAAGTTAAAGATTTACATTTGCTCACGTTGATGGGAAGTTTATTAGCAGCACACCACTCAGACAGTCTGTCAAGATTCATTTGTAAATAAAAGCAACTAGATGGATCATCAATTTGCCAGTACAGTTTTACGTCGTCCGCGTAGAGCAGAATATTGCAGTCAATCGTATTAACTAAGTCATTAATAAAAATGACGAATAGTAGTGGACTTAAGGAAGATCCTTGTGGGACGCCAGTAGATGGAAAAAAGTGAATTGATTTACACCCGTTAAAATCCACATATTGTTTGCGATCAGACAAATACGACTGAAACAATAATATCAAATTTTTTGATAAGCCAATGCTATTTAGTTTTCCCAGTAGTAAACCATGATCGACTCTATCAAACGCTTTACTGAAATCAGTATATAGCACATCAACCTGACCATTAGAATCTAAAACACCTGCTAGGAATTGAGTTAAACAGACTAAGTTTGTTGTTGTCGACCTTCCTTTTACAAATCCATGTTGTGCTGTAGAAACTGCAGAACTTACGTTGTATTGTATGAAATTATTTAATAACATTTCAAACGTTTTCGAAAAATTACTCACAATAATTATAGGCCTATGGTTTTCAATTAATTTACGGCTTCCATTTTTATGGATACGTCGAACCTTGGCTTCACGCCAAATCTCAGGAAATGTATGTGATCTGATACTTAGGTTATAGATTTTAGTTAAAGATGCAGCAAGAATAGGTGCACAATCACGGATTAAGAGTGCAGGTATATCATCAGGTCCACTAGTGAACTTGTTTTTCATTTTCTTTAATGCCATAAGAACCTCATTATCTGTGAAGCTATTCAACACAATATTGTTTGTAGCAATAATATCATCATCTGGCCTAGCTGCTACATTGGGGGTAGAATACATAGACTGGAAAAAATTAGACGCCTACCAGGTCTATACAGGGGATATCACTCTTAACAGCAGTTGTATCAATTTCAGTCGAATTCAAACAGTCTTTCGTGGCAATTAGAGCCCCACCTCCGCTTGTACATTCTAGGTTAACTAAGTCCCTATCAGATCTAAAAACACAGTACTGGACGTAAATAGCTCTGCATTGAGTACCCCTGATTGCAGCCAAGTTTCAGTACAGCAAATGATGTCATAATCAGATATCGTTATATTGAGAAGGAAATATTGAGATTTGGAGTGTAATCCCCGAAACTTCTGATAATATACAGAGAGAGTTTCTTTAACAGGACATGAGGAGTGTGCTGTGCGAGAGTTATGATATTTATTGCTATATAATTCACCGGGAAGTTCGCAATCAGAAAAAAATTAACCTGGATTTAAACTCTTCAATTCGCTGTAAATAGTAAGGACACCTAGAATCCCAAGCCGCATGCGCCACATCAAATTCAGTATTCCTTTCATTATTACTTTTTACACAGTTTAAACATTTCAGCGAAGTTGCTTCACAATTTTTGACTAAATGACTCTTACTTTTACATTCTTTTGAATAATGCAAGAATCCGCCACAATTAAAACATATTTTAATAGCAATAGCATCAAATACGTCACACACATCATACCCCACGAATAACTTACCGCCACGCATAGACAGAACCTTATTGTATGTATCCATATCAAGATTAATAACAGCTTGATAAATGTCATTCCGTTTGTTGATGGGCTTGATTTCAACCACCTTACATTGAGAATGTTGAGTAAACGCTTCCTTATTCTGTGCACGAATGGACTTGACAACATCACCTTCAGACAGTTTACAAGTCATGCCTGCGATACGCACTCTAGGATGAAAGCTGGATACCTCTTTAATTTCATATTTATCAGCCAATTTTTCGACAGCTGTCTGCCTCAAGTTCCGACTGTCATCATCACATGAACAGCCTACCAGCATGCCACCATTCGTTATATTCTTCACTCCAGATATATGTAAGTTCTCAGAAACTGGATCAACATATTGAAGTAAATCTGTTTGGTAGTTTGCACAGCTTGGGTGGTATCTTTCGGTTGAATGATGATTGCAGATTTACCTTTAGCTACCGACGAATAATATTTCTTGATACCGGAAGGCCCAGGTTCTGGAAGAGTACCCCTTTTTGCAGCCATTTCCATAACCTCCGTACGGAAAGTAGAAAATAGAAGTTGAATATTTTCAGATAGACCTGCAAGTTTGACGTCTAGAAGTTGCTTTACCTCATTCTAGTAAGCACAGCATGACTGTCATTTCCATAGTAAACCATTGACCTTTTCGATGTTTTTTATCACATCAGCTGACAGCCCCTGGCATGCTGCATGAAAAACGTTTTCACAAAAACCATCACACTTAACACTTTTGGAACGAACAGTGATAGCCGTATTACAGGAATTGCACAATGAATCGGCCATTACAACCGACCACACTATGCGCAATTGCACCAACAATGCACGAATAGAAAACTGTAACTTCAACTTTGAACGAAATTTTTTGTCCAATAACAGCAAAAAACTACAAAAATGTAGAGAGCAACAATTACACCGTATATCTCGAGAACCGGACAAGGTTATGTGGGCGTAAAATACGGTAAAACTTAAGTGGTTGCCACATGAGCGACCCCGAGACTTTAAAAAACTCAGAAATCCCAATTTCAGTATTATTTTACCCAATCCGGATGCTGTCTGTTTCAATTAGCTTGCACACACTGACCTGAGGTTAGAGCCAGCAGTGTTGCTGATTTCCTCATCCAAATATCTGCAGAGCTTACCAGTAACCCCTCTGGTTGGTTGAGAACAACCACAGTATCTATATTTCAGCTGAGATGACCTCAGCCTGTAAATGCCCTTCAAAAATCGTCTTATGTCTGCGTCTTTAGTAACATTTTGGGTAAAAGACTGATAGCCCAAACAATTATATCTTGGTCTCTTATCTCCTGTAAGGTAAGAAATTGCAAGGTTAGGAAACCAGATATGTATTTCTTCCCGACAAACATCCTACCGTAACCTAAGCCCACAATACATCATGAATTATACTTTAGGTCCAGTCCGAAGACATCACTTTGTTTATTTACTATGTAGTCCGGCCCTGGAGTACTAGCCGTACACCAAGTTAAAAGACAAGAGATACCCGCTCCCGTCCCGCCGCGCACCGGTCTTGCACGTTGAGTCATTCGGTTTTTGGTGTTACAGCCGTACGGTTGCCCGGCTTGTTTGTGCGTTAGGAAACACGTAAAATACGCAATTCCTTCTCAAATCGGTTTAGTGCTTGGTGAGTAGGTTGGTAAGTATGTACAACAATGGGTTGTTTTGTTGCTCATCTAGTAGCACGTTATATACAGGGTGACTTTGAAGTTGAGTCATTAATTTTCAGATAATGATTGTAGAAGGAAGATAAACCAAAATATGTGTGTAAAAATAAAAAAAAAATGTTACTTTGTTTAATAAAGTATCCTCCCGACAAGTATTTCAGTGCGGACCTGTATTTGATCGTGCGGTCTTGGAGCAGCATGCCCTCACCTGTGAGGTCTTAAGTCACCTGATTCACGAGCCCTTTGCACTACATTAACAAAGGCACGAGGGGTTGGTTGCACTCGATTGGGAAACCGATTCGCGTAAATCCGTGATGCATCCCGGAGCATTTTGTAAAAACTGCCCCCCCGTAAATAAGAATCATGTCCACAAGTTCAGCATTTTCGTAAACATGTGCCATTTTTGATTTCGTTTGAGCCACGCAACACACTACTATTCACTCAGGATTTATCGACTGACGAAAAACATCGTGATAAACGTTTCAAATTCTTTCGCTTTTTTGTTTCCGATGCGATGAACTGGTCAGGCGGATTATATCCGTTGTCGCCAAACACGAGCATATAATAGGCAGGGCGGTACTCAAACTTCCAAAGGGCTATAACTTTGTTACTTTAATTTTACCAGAAAAATGGTAAAGGAAAAAAACATTTCTTTTGATCAGATCTACTCACTGTTAAAATAAATGACTCAACTTCGAAGTCACCCTGTATCATATAAGATATACTTAGCAGAAAACCATGGAAGAAAAACCTGGCGGCAGGGACGGGGATTTGGAGGTTAATTCTCCCAGTTCCTTGAGGAGTCTTATCAGTGAAATTTTACACCAGGAACTTGAGGGTAGAAACAGCAGGTCGAGGTCTCGTGCCGATTCGCCCCATTACTTTAGGTGTTCTTGTTCTCGGCTGAGCCATAGAGGTTCAAGGTCCAGGGATGTTCCGACATGTACAATTGTGCATATTATGCACAATTTTACGAACATATGCACAACATGCACCCCCACACAAAATATGCACAATCGCCAATAAATAAAGTGCATTTTTTATACAAAACTGGCAATACATTTTCTTAACAGCTTCACGAACTGAGTGAAATGTACTGTTGTTCATAATTGATAGCCCTATGTCATAAATTAAACGCCCGGATCAATAATAATGTACTCTATTTTCCTCTCCAAAATATTCTGTCCAAAAATACCTCGCACATCGGTCGTAAAAACCACGCTCTTCTCTTTTTTGCGTTCTCCTTTCTCCGCGCCTCTCTCGACCGACACCACCGCCCGCATTCCTTGTCCCTTGGCTACACGGTAGTACCAGTGGCGTATCAAGAATGTATTTCTAGTTTGAAGATTCATCACATTCGGCCATCCTGCTGCTGTGTCTGTCCTCAGACCCAGAAAAATCAGCATCTATAAATAAACAATCAATCTAATGTATGATGTTGATGCTAAGTTGCAATACAGTAAGGCTTAGCGTGCTGAACTTTGAATGGTTATTCGAATTAATCAACCATCCCAACAGACACTGAAACGTATTAATTTTACACTGTTATGTTTGAGCTTTCACTTGAGCTTAACTGTAGCTGTTTTTCAATTTATACTTGATTAGCATTTTGACTGACAATTTATACTCTCTTTTATTAATTTATAACAAAATATAATTAAAACTCTAATTTTATTAATTTAACGGACAACAAAACGTCCCTAAGTAATTCTATTGTATGAGCCTTCCTTCATCAAATTATGTTGTTGTTTGAGCTTACTCTATCTTAACAGACAACAAGACATCACAAAGCCATTTTATTATTTGAGCCTACTATGTCTCAACAGACAACAAAATATCATAAAACCGTTTTATTGTTTGAGCCTACTTATCTCAACAGACAACAAAACATCATAAACTGCTTTTATTGTTTGAGCCTACTCATCTCAACAGACAACCAAAAAGCATTAATTTTTCTCCTTGTTCTTCTTATCTGCAGCAACTACAGTCTTATATCTCTTGTGGTTTTCTCTCAGGTCAACCACCTCGTATCGATCATTATAGAGAACCTTCGTCACTTTAAAAGGTCCCTTATATTTCGGCACCAATTTTCTGCTGGCACCAGTACACGGTGCATCCGTCTTCAACACCATGACGACATCATCCACTAGATACTTTTTAGCTTGTATCCTAGTCTTGTCAAACCTATCTTTCTGCTTTTTCTGCTCTACAGACAATCTGTGTTCAACAGATTTCCTAAGTGCCTTCAAGTCACCCCGCTCTAGCTCTCGTTTCACTGCACTCAAAACATTGCCTTCGGATAGGCTATGTCCCTTGAATCCAGCCAATAACTCCATTGCAGTCATTCCAATTGCAGCATTAAAAGTTGTGTTCATCGCATATCGCACCGGTTTGACAAACGTATCCCATTTGTTTTCAGCAACGCCTACCGATGCAGCTCTCAAAGAATTGAGAATTGTGCTGTTATAGCGTTCACATTGTCCACTAGCCCGCGGCGTGGAGACAGCATTTAAAATATGTTGAACACCATATTCTTTACAAAAATTACTAAAACTAACCGACGTAAACGCAGTACCCCTATCCGAGATTATACGATTCGGAGGGCCGAAAATATACATTATAGTAAGTAAGGCCTTAACAACTAACTTAGAACTAGTGTCCTTTACGGGTTCAATGAAACAAAACTTTGTAAATCCGTCAACAATAACAAAAATATATTTATTCCCTTTGATACTCTTTTCAAATGGTCCAAGATGATCGATGTAGATAGTGTGAAACGGTATGGGAACCTTTTCTATCGGATGAAGATATCCTTGTTTCTTTCCACTTGGCTGTTTATAGTAGAGACAATTTAAACACGCTCCAACGTATTTCTTCACAAAACGTCTCATACCAGCGAACCAATAACTCTCCTGTATTTTTTAAGCATTTTTTTCAATCGAAAATGACCATTCTCGTCATGACATAATCGACAAATTTGCCATCTACATGATTTGGGTACTACCCAAGCTGTTTTGTCCCCTAATTTTCGATATAGTTTACCCTCTTTAATTTTATACAATTCGAAATATTGTTCCGTACTTTTCTCCTTGGGTTCGTCTTTAAGAGTTTTCATTATTCGACTGGTTTGCTCATCTTGTAGCTGTGCTGCTATAATCCAGTCGCCTTCAGTGACGTCGATAACTCTGACATCCAAATATTCCTTAACAGGATTTCTGCTAAGGGCATCCACATGTCCCATTTGGGTTCCATTCCTATGTATGATGTCGAAATCGTAGTCCCGAACTTGAAGCAACCATCTCCCTACTCTCGGAATCAAATCTCTCTTACTAAAAGCTGTCCTCAATGCGGTACAGTCGGTAACTATCGTGAATTTTATTCCAAGCAGATAAACTCTGAACCGTTGTAAGGCTAACACTACTGCTAAAGTCTCCAGCTCATAAGAGTGGTAGCGTCGCTGCTCTGGGCTGGTCTGCTTGCTGAAGTAAGCTATGACATATTTTTCATTATCTTTGAGTTGTATAAGAATTCCTCCAAACCCAATACAGCTTGCATCCGTATGAAGTTCTGTTCTAAGCTCAGGGTTATAAATAGAAAGAATTGGTCTGGTAGCTAGCATTGATTTTATTTTCGTAAAAGCAGTCTCTTGCGAGGAGGTCCACTCGAACGGGGCATCCTTTTTTAATAATCGAGTGAGAGGTTCTACTTCTCGAGCATAGTCTCTCACGTACTTGCGACAATATCCGGACAAACCAAGAAATTGCCGAACCTCCTTGACGTTTGTCGGTGATTTCATACACATTACTGCCTTAGTCTTTTCTAATCCTGGTTTTACTCCATTCTCACTAATTTCCTGACCCAAATAATTAATGCTACTATAGAAGAAGTTACATCTGCTTAACTTCAACGTCAAATTGGCTTGTCTCAATACATTTAGTACAATTTTTAATCTGTTTAATGCCTCTTTAAAATCACGTCCCGGTATTATCAAATCATTTAAATATGCGTGAACAATTTTGTTCAAATGACCTTTAAAAACATTGTTAATTAATTTTTGAAAAATGGCCGGAGCATTCACCAAGCCGAACGGCATTCGCAGAAATTGATAGTGGCCGGTCGGCGTAATGAATGCCGTTTTTTCGATAGAGTTAGCAGCCATCGGTATTTGATAATATCCAGACGCAAGATCAAGCGTAATAAAATATTTATGACCCCCCAGCATGTCAATTTGATCTTCAATCAATGGTAATGGGAATTTCTCTTTTATAGTAATCATGTTTAAGCGTCTAAAGTCTATACACATCCGATAATCAGCTGTTTTCTTTTTAACAAGTACTACTGGACTAGCATACTGAGAGCTAGATTAACGTACGATACCATTAATGAGTAACTCTTGCAACAAATCATTTAAAATATTTTTTTCTTGAATTGACATGCGATATGGGTTATAAATGACTGGTTCCTCCATTTTACATTTAATACTCATTTCTACTAAATTGGTTATTCCTAAATCCTTTAAAGTAAATGCGATCGTGTCGCTATACTCTTTTAAAAGACTATAAACGTTGTCCTTTTCTCCCTGAGAAATATTACCAAAATTTATTTTATCATACTCAATTATTTTCATAGTACCCTGTATATCGCTCACGGTAGAAACATTTTTAAAACGCAAGGTGTCGCCGGCTTTATGCATGACAACATGTGGCTGATTTAAATAATCGCAACCAATAATCACATCATAAGTTAAGTAGTTATCCGCTGATTGCGCCGCAAGATATCATATTACCCATAAAACATCGTAGTCCTACATACTCATTTGTTCTAGTTAGCCGCATCTTTAAATGTTTTGCTAAAGAATCTTTAATTATTGTGCAAGACTACCTGTGTCAATTAAACAATTTTCAACTGGACTTTGTTGTATATAAGCAGTAACCAAAGACATATTATTCTTTCTGTTCATAATTATAGACTTCGCAATCTGATTACATTCATTTTTCTTGCTTAGTCTACACTGCTCTGAATAATGGCCAACCTTTTACAATTTTTACACGTTATTATAGGCTTAGGACAATTTTTTACAATATGTGAACCTTTGCAATTATAACACGATAGTACTCTGCGTTTACTGCCATCCTCTCCTTCCAAATTTTATCACCTCTTGATTAACTTTTGACGTGCCTGGAGTCGGTTTAGCAGCAATATATTTTTGCCTATTTATATCTATAATACTATCTAAATAGTTAGCCAACGTACCTACCGATTGAAAATTCGCAGCTCTAGCTGCTAGCTTTATATTTTCATTGTTTATCCCTTCAATTATACAATCTGTAATATCTACATCATTAATATGCAAATTTAATTTTGTCATTTTTGCATATTTTTCAAAACAATAATCACTGAATTTTTGATTAGGTAAATGCACATAATTTGCTGCCTCTTTAAACAATTTTCCAAAGTTCCTAGTCGAAGGGAATATTTCTAAAAGCATCACTTTCATATTACACCATCGAGTACAGTGATTGTTTAACGAATCATACCATTTCCGAGCACTTCCACGAAGTCTGCTTGTTGCTAATTTAATTGTCAATTGGTCATCCCACTGGTATAACTCACGCAACTGATCAACCTTGTTGACCCAGTCTATAGATTGTCTATTTGAGGGGTTAAACTCAGGTATTATGCAGTACTTACAGGTTGCTTCTCTTACAACTTGTTTTTGAATTTGAGTTCTTTTCGTAAACGTTTTACTCGCCTACGATGTCTCCTTCCATCGTCCGTCGAAGAACTTGAACTGGACTGAGAGCTAGAGGATGAACTAGAAGAACTACGCCTTTTCGTCTTCCCCATTTTGAATCACTCACTTGTAGAACTTGCACGGCACGTGAATAATTCCACTTCTGATTTGTCATAAATGAAACGCCTGGGATCAACAATAATCTCTATTTTCCTCTCCAAAATATTCTGTCCAAAAATACCTCGCACATCGGTCGTAAAAACCACGCTCTTCTCTTTTTTGCGTTCTCCTTTCCCCGCGCCTCTCTCGTCTGACACCTCCGCCCGCATTCCTTGCCCCTTGGCTACACGGTAGTACCAGTGGCGCATCATGAATGTATTTCTAGTTTGAAGATTCATCACAACTAGTTAAATTTAATAAATAAATATTCTTTTTTATTCCTGGATTAATTTCTTAAACTCTCATTAAACATTAAAAAGGTTCTACGTCAATGGTTCCATGAAATTTCAGTTTTTTGAAATTGGCGGATGCGCCAGAAAATTAGTATACATATATCATATATGCACATTTTTAAAGAAATATGCACAATTTCTATTGACATCTTTGCACAATTCAAAATCTATCGAGAACAACACTGTCAAGGACCGTTCGCGGAGTAGCATCAGTCGTAGTCGATCACCGAGCGTGTCGAGGCGACGTAGAGAGAGACGGGAATATGTGCGAAAAAATTCATCCAGCCCAGCTGATAATGTACAGCGTTAGGCCTGGCTGGTCGTTCCCCGTGCGGGCCTGAAGCTCAGGTACTGACAGGGACGGATTTTGGAGCGGCGCCAACGACGCAAAACAGTATGGACGATGTTTTGATATTTGACGATGCCGATTGTATGCCATTATCAGAGGACACATTAAATATTCTGGGTGCCGATCCTGAAAAGGCTAATACGTCTAGTTTTAAACTTCACGGTGCCCTAGTCTCCAGGTGGTCCCATATTTTGGCAAACGGGCTATCCGCCGAAGATATTTCTATCCTTAGCGAAAAACAAAATGTGCCATCTAATTTCGCTTTATTACGTCATCCAAAAGTAAATCCCGAAGCGAAAGATATTCTTTCATCCACACATTTAACTAGGGATTCCACTCACTCCGGGTACCAATTGCACATTGGTAACGGACTAACCACGCTGGGAAAAGCACTCAACGTTATCTTGGAAGACGAATCCAGCATCCCTAAAGACATCAGGGAAAAAGTCTTTGACAGATTCTGCACGAATATTGGCGGCTTTTTTCCACGATATTTCGAAAACAAGAAAATATTTAATTAGCCCAGTACTTAACAAATCTGTTACAGAACTGACTGAAAATACTATATCTGGTGAATTTTTGTTTGGGCCAGATTTAGGTGAACGAGCAAAAAATTTGAAATCTTTGGAAAAGGCAGGACAGGACTTACGTTTGCCTTCTATCCCCTCACGCACTAGCTCTCAATCAGAGAAAGAAGAGGGGGGCGGGCAGCTCGTCCAAGAATGCAGGACCTTTAAACAGGTATGGCCCGTCTCACCGCAAGAGGGAGGTGAGGCAATACAAGGGCCATTCCTCGAAACAGTTTCCTCAGAACAGACAACAGCAAACCAGGAAACGCTGAAGGTAAAACAAGTTCCGTTTGCTGGCCGTTTACAGTTTTATTTGGACTCTTGGTCCAAACTAACCTCAAATTTGACAGTCTTATCCTGGATTCAAGGTTATATGGTTCCCCTTAAAGTCAACCCTCCATCATGCCACCACTTGGTTAAAAATAATTTTTCCCCTACAGAAACACCGCTAGTAAGATTAGCTATAAACGATTTGTTAAGGTCCGGAGTCATACTCAAATCTGAGTCAATTTATCTCTCCATGTTTCCTAGCAGATAAATCCAGCGGTGGAAAAAGGTTTATTTTGAATCTAAAACAATTAAATGAATATGTGGAATGTCCGCATTTTAAAATGGAGGACCTACGAACGGCTATTAAAGTGACTCACAAAACCGTGTATATGTGCACAATTGACTTGAAAGATGCATACTTTTTGGTACCCGTTCACAATCACCATCAACCATTCCTTAAATTTCAATTTGAATGTCAATTGTACCAATTTACCTGCTTACCGTTCGGGTTATGTACAGCTCCGTTATGCTTCACAAAACTCATGAAGCCAGTCGTCTCTTTTCTCCGCACTTTAGGCATCTCTACAGTCAATTACCTAGACGATTTCCTAATATTCGGAGATTCCTATGAATCCTGTCTCAAACATGTCAACACAACCATTTGTCTTTTAAAATCGTTAGGGCTTATAATCAATAAAAACAAAAGCATCCTAGTACCTACCACTTACATAAAATGTCTAGGCTTTATGATAGATAGCGTCCATTTAAAAATAGATCTTCCTGACGAAAAGAAGCCTATCCCTGAAAGCATAAAGCCAGATATTTTTTGATGGACAAATCATATTTCAAAAGCCTTCAATGACATCAGGTATGATTCCTTTCATATAACAATTTTTACCGACGCATCACTTACAGGATGGGGTGCTGGTTGTGGCCGTGACAGAACCTATGGGTTCTGGTCTGACTTTCAAAAACGGTTACATATAAATAATTTGGAGTTATGGGCTATTTTGTACGGGATTCAGTGCTATACCAAAAATTTGAAAAACTGCAATATTCTAATTAGATGTGACAACACGACAGCTGTTTCATACATCAATAGAATGGGGAGTGTTCAATTCCCAGACATCTGTTCGTTGTCAAAACAAAGTTGGCAATGGTGTGAGCAAAGGAACCTCTGGCTCTTCGCTTCATACATTCCTTCGAAGGATAATGTTATAGCAGACACCGAGTCCAGGAGCTCGAATTTGGAAATGGAATGGTCGTTATGTCAAACCGCCTTCGACCGTTTAACCACCGTTTTCGGAAACCTAGAGATTGATCTTTTTGCTTCCCATACAAATGCTAAATGCAAGTTATATGTCTCCTGGCATATAGATCCAGGATCTGCATATATTGACGCGTTTACGATTCCCAGGAATATATTTTATTTTTACGCATTTCCACATTGCAACAATATAACAGTTCGTATAAATTATGGTGGAGTTATTGCTTCAGTAATGACATTTCGCTTTTTAATCCCACAATCAAAGAAGTGGTGTCATTCTTGCAAGAATTGACAAATAATCAAAACCTTACGTATGGTACTTTTAGCTCTCATACATCTGCCCTTTCATTAATTATCTCAAAGGATTTAGCCTCTATCCGATAATTAAACGCTTCAAAAAAGGTATATCTCGCTTACGGCCTTCACGACCAAAGTATACTGCCACCTGGGACCCTATACCCCTTCTAAATTATTTAGAGAAGTTATCATCACCACTTAGTCTTCAAACCCTGTCACAGAAATTAACGACGTTATTAACCCTGATAACAGGAGAAAATCTCCAGACGATATATCTTATACGTCTCTCAAATATAATCCATGGTCACAGTGAATCAACTATTAATATATCGGATCCAATTAAAACCTCAACCCACTCTGCACATCCTGATTTTTCAACAAAACCCCTTTCTTTGCGTGGCCACAATCCTGAAAGAATACATTGATAGAACGGCTTCTTTAAGAGAACCCAATAACGATTTCCTATTTGTGACAGGGAAAAACCCCCATGGCAGGGCGCAACGTTCCACGTTTGCAAGATTTTATAATCGTCCTCTACAACCAAACAATGAGTTTGCAAATGCAATCCTAGATATAAAATTGGTCTGATTAGTTAAGTTCTAATACTCTTAAGAGTTTGTTACATGTTTCCTGTGTTGTTGTTTTTAAAATCAACGTTATCTTTAGGTTACAATTTGAGAATTTATTTTATGTTTGTTACATAGGAATACTAAATATATTATGGTTTTGTTGTTTCTGAACACTTTGATTCCACTTTATAACACCATCAGATCGCTTGCAACTGTGTTCTATCTTTAAACATCTACATAGTAAATAAACAAAGTGATGTCTTCGGACTGGACCTAAAGTATAATCAATCGATCAAACGAACTTACCTTAAGTGAAGTTCGATCGTAATTATACGAGGGTCCAGTCCGAAGACATCACTCCCACCCCTTTTTTTTTCAACCCTCCCAAGTTGCGAGCAAGTACCATTTCTTTTAACAAATGACTCAACGTACAAGACCGGTGCGCGACGGGACGGGAGTGGGGATCCCTTGTCTTTTAACTTGGTGTGCGGCTAGTACTCCAGGGCCGGACTGCATAGTTAATAAACAAAGTGATGTCTTCGGACTGGACCCTCGTATAATTACGATCGAACTTCACTTAAGGTAAGTTCGTTTGATCGATTATTTATCGATGTTGATTGGAATGACAGCTTTCTAGTGACGACAACCAGGGTAAGCTTACGAATTAGTGGGAGCAGCATCCTGGGTCCCTCCATCAGATCCTTGCGTTACTTCTAGATGTGAAATTTCAGAAACACCGAATACTTGAACCAAAATCAGGACGGTGACAAGTGCAGCTCCCACTCCGTTTCCACGTCCCACTGACGCAAAAGCTCATCTGTACCACTATTACTCCTAGAATTTATATCTGTCGCGACGACAGTAACATTTCTCTTTTTACACAATTGCCGTAGTTTTCCCGCAACGTAGTCCAGACGTGAAAACCAGAAGCTCTCCATTCTATTGATGTACGATGGGGTATAATATGCGACAGCCCATCAAAGCAGTCGCCACAGAAGGAAACTACCAGTTGTTCTTGATGATTAGCATCCGGGATCTTCTCGGGTGACCAAAAACTAGAGAGAATGTACCACTCCGAGAAATTATACAACAAAAAATTGGATAACTCAATACCTCTGACCGCATCTGCCAATTCCTTTGCGCCCCAGTCGAGGTAGACCTTAAGTTATATTATTGCCCTTACTAGGTATAGAATCGCATCGTTCGCCCAACTAAAGTTACTTTCTTTCTGTCACAACTTAATACTGAGCCTGAAAGTGCTCATTTTTTTAAGGTATTCCATAAATGGTTTTATTAACTTTTTGAACACATAGGGGGTATAATTTACCCTAAACGGTACATCATTGTATTGGAAGAGCTGTCCCTTGAATATGAACCTGAAATATATACTATCACTTTTCCTATCGGGTACCAAAATCCTTGCATATTCTAAATCCAGATTCGTTAAGAAAGCATCTCTACGGACAAGTCTCTCCCAGTTCAATAACCTAGACTTAAGCGTTATGTCCATATAAACAAATAGTCTTGAGAGGTAAGGAATCAAACGTGTTGGCCCATCAGACTTGGAGGCAAGAAAAAGTTGGATATGTGCTGATTTT